GGCCCTGCTTGGAACAAGTCTATAAATTACTAATTAATTGATATCATGCAATTAGAATCAATTAATAATCCCAGTGTAATTAATGTTTCTAGAGTCATTAACAAAGTGTTTGAATCTCATATTGAGAAACGAAAAGATGATTTAGACGAGGTAATTGTAGTATTTGATCAGTATATATTTTATTCCATGTTTATACATTTTACATGCCAGACTACACACGTAAAACGCACAAGTTGTTATAAGTCTAGTTTCATATTAATCTGACACTGCAATCGACCAACGAAAAATTCGTTGGCTCGAGCGGGATTTGAACTCGCATCTTCGGGTATCTAGACCGCCGCTCTACCTATTGAGCTATCGAGTCAACAGGGATTGGTATAGCGAGTCTTATCCAATTTAAGTGCACGAAATATTTTCGTGATGACTTACGCTTGTCTTAGAGGACGCGCAGTGTCAATTCGTATCTCTGAGGATGGTTCTGAAATGTTATAAGTTTCCAAACAAGTTGTTACAAATCTGTTCACAAGCTGTCGACAAGTTGTGTTCGTACTGCTTGATCTTGTTGTAACAAGTTTTGAACAAGCTGTTGACACCTTGTAATAAGCTTGATGGCATTATCAGACTTGTTACAAGGTCGTTCTAACAAGTCCGATACAGTCATGATATAACAAAAATGTTACAAGGTTGATGACACAAAGTTGTAACAATATTGTTATATCATGACTGTATAAGACTTGTTGGACCAACCTTGCTGCAAGTCTGATATTGCATGCCATCAAGCTTGTTACAAGTTGTTAACAGCTTAGTTCTTTGTAGGATGCATGGCGATAAAACATATAATACTTTTTGTTTGTGGAAACATCGCGTAAATTATTACTGCAAAGCTTTCGATTCGTAAGCCCAGATCTGTATGTATTATTATTAGCACTGATGAAGATCCGGGCTTATACGGATCGAAAGCTTTGCCTTTGCAGTAATGTATTTACGCGGTGTTTCCACAAACAAAAAGTATTATATGTTAACAGCTTGTTTCAAATCTGTTGACAACTTGGGACAGGCAGTGTGAACACAACTGGTTGACGGCTTGTTGAGAAAACTCTCGCTCTTGCTTGCCCTCAACTTTCAACCTTGACCAGGGTATACGATATATTGATAAATTTTTTCTTCTCTTTAGGAGAACATGAGAGAGATGATCAGTCAATTAAAAGAAGATCTGGGAGTCACTAATGATTAATTAGCAATGGACAATTAGGAACTAGTTTTTAGTTTAGATTACGATAATCTTAATATATTAATTTTATAACTTTACATTGTTTGGCTACGGTGCAACTTATCTTCAATTACTAATAATTTTTTACACAAATCCTACGGCATGCAATTAATTAAAAACACAACGTTTTACAATATTTTAGAATCTTGTCGAATGAAGTCATATGTGTTCGTGTGTTCATATATATACTAATTTTGTATATGTGATGTTGCAAGCTTGGATATACATGAAGTAAAGATCGTGCTCAAGCTTTATATTTGGAAGAAATAATCCAGAATTCAGAAAACATAATGACCGACAATCGGGAGACAGGGTTCGATTCGTTGGGAGTTCAGAAATTTTCTGAATACAAAGCTTGAGCGCCATCTTTACTTCAATAAAATTATAATATCACAATAAAACCAACATAGTGTAGCTTTTCAAAATTATATATTTCCCAATATCAACCAAGATGACCAAATGTTGAAACAGATCTGTTGCATCCAGCATTAAGGATAATATTAGACCGGTTATATAGGGTGAGCCTTGTAACAATTGATTCACAAACTGTCAGTTGTCAGTGAGCAATGCTGTACATTGCACGCGCAAAGCTCTTACACATCCTTCTTTGTCTCACTTTCCAAGTCATTTATAATACTCTCCAGACTAAACAAGAATTTCTCCACATTCAAATCCTTTTGCAAGTCAACCATAGACATAGTACTCTTGACACTTTGCAAGAATTCTTTAGCAATATACACGACCAAAGGTGTGATTATTTGCTGCCCGGCAATGCCGCCTAGCAGTTTCGCCACGTAATCAACTCCAGCCCCGCCAACAATTGCTCCCAAAACCGACAATGGCCACCAACCAGGAAAAGCTAGCGCTGTGACTCCGCCCAGAAGGTAACCCAATTGAAAGCCACCAAGTGAGAAACCTGCAGCACAAATTCTCTCCGTAACGACCTCCAAAAACTCTTTAGAAGTCAGGTTTCCTTCGGAGAATTTTGTGCTGGCGTCAAGACAATCACGGAAAAGCAGAAATACTTCAATTTTAGCTGCAGTAAAGAAGGCCAATTTAGAGTTGAAGTTTGCTCTGTATTTCTCTGCTAAATCAGGTTTGATGTTGAGCATCCTAGCCAATAGATGTCGAAGCTTGTCCATTAGTGACATAGGTTTCGCTATTTTAACGGATACAATACTTGAGATAGCGCTCTTCCCAATAATTTCAATCGGCGTCCATTTTTGGTGACATTCTTTCTTCCCAGTTTTACATTCGTTGGCAAAGTGTTCGCAGTTATTGGTGACAGGACAGTATGCAGGTCCTTCTTTATCAACTCTTGCTTTTGCCTTCTTCAAAACTTCAGGAGCTGGGAGGCATTCATGGTCTTTGTATACAATACGATAAAACCTGTAAAATGGGTACAAATCAACGTTTGTCAAGTTAATTGGATTGCCATTCGCATGATCGACCTGATGAATCTTCGCGCGCACTTACAGTGTAAAAACACTGAGATAAAGTTTTCATGCAAACTATAATTCGCACAGTATATGTAATATGATGATTGACAATGATTCTGGGAACAAATATATAGTTCCTGAATAACTTGTATGGATAAATATCATGACTTTGGGCATTATACGTACACACTCGATATGAGCGGTTGTAAATGGGGTTTTGTAGACCGAAATCACAAGGTCGCAGGATCGATTCCTGTCAGAGGGCCTATATAGTTGCATTTTTCACAACTGCTCCTGGTTAT